TGTGTGTGTGTGTGTGTGTGTGGCCAGCTCAGCCCACCAGGGGCGGAGCGGGCTGGCATGTGGTGCTGGGGGACTGAATCAGGGTTCCTGTGCTTTGCTGAGCTTCTGAGTCATCTCGCCAGCCCCTATATTTTTATTTTTGAGGCAGGGTCTCAATAAGTCTTTAAGCTATCCAGGCTGGACTCAAACTTCAGATCCTCCTACCTCAGCTTCTCAGAGTACTGAGGCTACAGGCAACCAGCGCCACACCCAGCTTGGTTTTGAGTTGTATGGCAACCTCTTCCCCATCCCCCTTTAGCACTCCTGAAGACCACCAAAACTGCTGCTGTTTATATGCCAAATAATCTAGCCCTAAGTGGTTTAGGTGTTCAGAGGAAATGAGCCTGTCAAGGACAGAGAAGCCAAATCTTGGCTGACGCCCACAGTTAGCAGCTGGGGAGAGGAGAAGGAACTAGAAAGTGGACAGAGAGAGCCATCAGCGATGGGAGCCCAGAAAAAAACAGCAGCACAGACTGAGGGAGGTGGCTGACGGCAGCAGGGGAGTCCGGCCAGCTGCAGTGCCCTCTCACAACCTGTGTTGTTGGGTGAATTCATCACCTTTCTAAGGCTGGCCTTCATCTGGGGCCCACAGTATTGATGGCAACATAAATGGGGAATTAGTTACATAAGTGGTGTGGCACAGCTGGGCTTGGTGGCACACACCTGTAATCCCAGCACTTGAGAGGAGGAGGCAGGAAGATCATTGCAACCAGCCTGGACTACAAAGTAAGCTCAAGGCAGCCTGAACTGCATAGTGAGACCCTGTCTCAAAAGGACCAAAAAAAACCAACAACAACAACAAAAAAAAAAAAAACGCTTGGCACAAGACCCTGCATTTCATGGGTGCTCCAAAATGTGTGTCATTTGTCCTCCTTAGAACAAAGAGCTAGGTGGTGTTGCCAGGCTTAGGAGATACATCACCTTCTGTCTCATAGGAAGTCATTAGGCCTCGTCTAGAGCTCTGGCTCCATCCAGTGGTGTGGACAGTAGAGGGGGCCAGTGAATGTGGAGACAGCAAGACAGCAAGCTTCTTTCTACCATAATCTAGCCATGATGACAAACATCTGGCACAGCAGGGACCCTAAGCAGCACCCCTACTCCATATTGTTACCCTCCCCACCACATGCTACATTTTGATTGGCTGATGCCCATCCCCATGCCATTGTTACATAATGTTAATATTGCTAGGGAAATATTAACAGACAGTAGAGCGTGCCCTGGTCCAGCCTTCTAGGATGGTCTTGCTGGTCACACCTCTCTGCAGGACAGCAATGTCCTCAGCCTAGGACAAAGCCTGCCCTGCCCACCTTCTGTCCTCTTGCTCCTGCCAGCTGCAGAACACACCCAGGTGGCTGGGACAGTACCTTTCAGGGTACTAACACTGCTAACACTGCAGTCAGAGAGGGTGTTCTGAAGGGTCTGCCCATGAGGAGAATGGCACAGGTAGGGCAGGGAGATTCTGTACAGCCTACATACCTCCAGCTTATCACCACCAAATCCCGCACCATCCTGCTTTCTTAATGTGAATTTAACTTGCCAGTAGTAGATGGGGTAAGTATAACCCTAACCCTCACAGGGATGTTGTGAAGATTAAACAAGACGAGGTATGCAAAGCTCTTAGCACAATGCCAGGCACAAAGGTGCTCTGTAAAGAAAAGCTCTTCATGGGCTGGAGAGACAGCTCAGCGGTCTAAGCTCCTGCCTGGCAAGCACAGGGACCTGGGTTCAATCCTCACTACCACATGCCAAAACTGGGCATGTTGGTACATGCCTGTAATCCTAGCTCTGGGGAGGCTGAGGCCAGCAGACCACTAGGAGTTTGAGGTGAGTATCAAGACCCTGCACTAAATAAATAAATAAAATATTTTTTTAAAAAACCTCTTCATAATGCACGTGGTGCTCCCCCCGCCCTCCAGGCCACCCTGCAGAAGCTGAAGGCAGAGGAGTACGTGCGACAGAAGAGGGAGCTCCTGGCCCTCTACCAGGACCAGGACCGGGAGTGCCCCAGCACCAGGCCCTCCACACCCTCCCTGGAAGGCTCTCAGAGCAGTGCAGAGGGGAGGTAAGACCCACCTGTGCCACCTGACGGGAGGCCACAGGCAGGGAGGGCAGGTGTCCAAAAGGTTGAGAAGTAGCAGCGCAGCCTTAGCAGAACTGACATAAACAGCAGCAGGCTTCAGGTTGGAGTGCAGCAAGCCTGAAAAGGGATGCCTGGGACAGCCTGTAGGGTGAGCCAGCTTAGGGTGGGCCCAGTTCGAAGAAAACAAATAGAACTGGTGAACTGACAAGAACCTGGACGAAAGGGAGCCTGGATTGAGAGAACTGAGCTGCATCTCCAGTGTGCCAGGATCCTCCAGGGAAGCACAGCTGCAGTGTGCTTATGGGGACAAGAAGAATACATCACTGTGGGTAGTCTGAGTCACCTCCGGTGATAACCCTCACCTCGGGACCTGCTCAGCAAATACCTGAGCATCAGCTCCTCCTAGGTTCTGGACCCGGTTCTGTGGATAGAATAGCCTGGGGGCTGCAGAATAGCCTGGGGCAGCCCCATCTCTTTTAGTGATCACAGTTTAGCAGTGAGATGAGAAAAATCCCAAGTACAGGAGTATGTAAATAAGTGTAGAGGTGGAGCCTTTTCCTGATGGAGTCCTAAAGGTGGACTTCCTGGGCTTGTACCTGACCCCAAAGCATGAGTCTGGCCACATGCTTTTCATTGTAGGACTCCGGAATTCACTGTCATCATCCCCCACTTGGTGGTGACAGAGGACACAGATGAAGACACTCCCTCTGTACCAGATGATACCTCAGACTCTGGCTACGGCACTTTGATAGCAAGCTCGCCCAAGGGGTCCCCCTCCCCACTGAGCCGTCTGCGCCCCAAGGCTCTTCGAAGGGACCCGCGCCTCACCTTCTCCACCCTGGACCTCCTCCGAGATGTTCCTTTGCGCCCCCAGCCTCCAGACCCCCAAGCTCCCCAACGCCGAAGTGCCCCGGAACTTCCGGAAGAGATCCGAAGAGGGGGCAGTTTTCCCAGGGGAGACCCACCTGCCTGGTCAGAGGAAGAGGAGGAGGAGGAAGAGGAGGAGGCAAGAACCTTGGCTGGGCAGAATGTGGTGGTGGAAACCCTGCACAGAGCCAAGCTTCGGGGGCAGCTCCAGCCCTCCCCGACCCACGCTGACTCAGCCGGGGAGAGCCCCTGGGAGTCCTCGGAGGACGAAGGGCCTCCCTTCCTGAGCCTGGGGTCCAGCCCCCATGCCCACCCACTCCGCACTGAGGACATGCTACGGGAGATCCGAGAGGAGCTAGCCTGCCAAAGAATCGAAGGCGCCCCGGAGCCTCAGGACAGCAGGCCTCGGAAGCTGACGCGTGCCCAGCTGCAGAGGATGCGGGGACCCCACATCATACAGCTGGACACCCCGTTGTCTGTGTCGTAAGTGCCAATGAGGGGCTGGCATAGGGAGGAGTATGGAGAGTGATGGGCAGTCTAGGGTGGGAGGGGCCGCAGGAGGACAGTGCAGGCCAGGGACCAAAAAGTGTCCTTAGCCTCATTCGAGCCCAGCCTGACCCTCATGCTCCCTCTGCCCTTGACCTTTGCCTAAAACCTGCCTCTTTGCTTTTCAGAGAAGTGTAAGCAGTGCTGAGGACCTCTGGCGTTTCTCCCGGAGGAAGTGTTTTTCCAAGAGTGCTGGCCACTACCCCACCCCTGAACTCTACCTCAAGGACTTCACCGTGAGAAGCCTGGCCCAGACATCTGCCTCTGCTCGCAGGACTGTAGATTTTTGTATCATAGACACCTCGGAGCCCCACATAAAGTTGTGTATAAAAATGACGGCTTGGTCAGCAGTAGATGTGGCTAAGAGATATGCTGGGTGCGGGGTTCCACAAGCACAGGCTACTCTGCTGGCTGGCTGGCGAAGGGGGCTGCTTCTGCCAGCCCCAGAATCCCAGCCTCGCCTCAGCCTTTACCCCTAGACCACCCCTCCAGAAGCAGAGATTGAATTTCAGAGCTTTAGTGTATTTACAAAAGTCCACGGATCCAGCTGCAGGCCCCACTGTTCGTGCTTTCTCCTGCATGCGGACAATGCAGGCCGGTTCCATTAGTGTGATAAGACTGAGACAAAGAATGCTTAGCTACTGTGAAAAAGGCCCAGGAACCACGCAGGGCCCCCAGGCAGCCTTGCTGAGCCCTCCACACCCAAAACGCGCCAGAGGCACAGTGCTCCTTTCTAGACCCACCCCCTACTACCTGCGCACACTGCAGGCTCCAGGGTGGTGTCCACCCACTGACTGGGTAGCACCAATTAAGTCCTCAGCTCGGGCCCATTCCTCTAAGAACTTCCTCACCGGGGAGGTGATGGGGTGAAGGAGGTGGGCCACGAGGCACCTCGCTCAACTGCCTTGGCGGGATGCCCAAAAGAGTGCCCATGACCAATTTAGGCAGGGCCTGGGGCGGGGCCTCATCCGGGAGTTGGGGGCCGGACTCCGCCCAAGGCAAACCTGCGTAATGACTTGTGGGAAAGGAGGTGGCAAGAAGGTGTGGCTTGGCCTGTGGGCGGGACCTCATCGGGGGAGTTGGGGCAGGGGCATCAGGGAGGCGGGGCTGCACAGCACTTCCTGGATGTTCTCCAGGCAGCCCAGGAGGTCCATGTCACACAGCACACGGCCCAGCAGGTCCAGTGTGGCCTCATGTCGCGGTGTGCGCTGCCGCCACGCCGCCAGCATACTGTAGTGCGCCTCGCGCAGGCAGCGCCCGTTCTGCAGCTCCAGCCGCTCTATCTCGTGCTCGCTCAGCCCCAGGCGCCGTATGAACTCCTTCCAGCGGGACGGAGGCACGCCATCCACCACAGCGTACAGCGTCGCGGGCTCGGCTGTGAGGGATGAGGCCTCCACCAGGCGTGGCCTGGCCTGCCACCGTCCATAGTCACCATCCATGACCTGCGCGGAGACGCTGTCCTCCCTCTTGTGGCCGACGTCGGGGATAGGTGCAGAGGCGAGCAGCTTCGTGAAGTTGGGCTTAGCTTCCTGGGATGGTAAGGCCATCTCCACATCCCGGGTACAGGGAGAGAAGGGGGAGTTGGAGGGTGGGTTGGAGCTGGGGGTGGAGCTTAAATCCGGGTGGACTAGGGGCTTAGTAGTAATTCCTTCAAGCTCACCCTGAAAGAGAAAACAAAGTTTTAGTAGCAGGGTGGCTGAAAAACCCTCTTTATTCTAGCCAGAAGTTGGGGTGAAATGGAAGTAAGGGACCCCTGTGGTGGAGAGTATTTGGGGGGTAGGAAATTGGAACAAGCAGTAAGGACATTTGGGTGTAGTCCTGGTTTCCTTACCTTTTTCTCCGCTGATTTCCCACACACTGAGAAAAAAGAAACAAAGCATTATAAATTTCACTTCCCACTTTGTCCCTCACCCTCTACTGGGGTTGGACCTGGGGACTTGTGGTGACATGCTTCATGGCCTATGGGGCCCCAGAGACAAGAACTACTGATATAGCATGACCTCCCTCCCACCAGCCGTGGAGGGCCAGCTCCTGCCAGAGACGCTTCTCTTCCTCCCTCCTTCATCTTTCCCACACAGCCTCCTGCCAACACCTCTGGGGCACCCTGTCCTCTCCCCAGGTCTCTCCTCACAAATGGTGTAGAGCTTGGTCTTCCATCTGGGGTAGCGGCACATTAAACTGATGAAGAGGATGAACAAAAGGCAGAGGCCAAAGAAGATCACCAGAGGCAACAGCACCGTGGTACCTGGAGACAGAAGTAAACCTGGTGAGGAGGGAGGGTCATTGGGGCCTCAGGGATAGGTGGGAGGGGATGTAAGGATGAAGGAGAGGGCAGGTGGGCACGGTCCAGATCACTTCTCACCTGAGTCCTGTGGGGGCTTAATTACAGGAACAGGGTGCGGGCACACCTTTGTGCACCCCAAGTCTTGCTTACATCTGAAAGGAGAAATAGCACCGGTGAGGACACAAAAGAAAATGGAGAGACAGTATTGGAAACTCTTTGCTTTAAAAGAGTTTTT